AGTTTGTAAAACCAATCGGCTTAGTAATAGTTTTATTATGGCATCGAGTAGCAAAACTGAATAGGTTTTACTCTTCATTTACCTATTTTATATTCTTAATAACTTTTGCATGCTTATTATAAACAGACACTTTTGACAATTTAGTTAATTAATTATAATACTTTGATATATTTCAAAACTCTAATTTTAATAATTTTTAATTGTATAAGTATAATACGCAATTCAGCTCATAGCTGCAATGTATTTACCATTTCTAAATAAAGTATAAAGTATAAAGTATAAAGTATAGAGAATAACTGTTAAATATAAATAGTATATTGAAAATCATTAGAAAATCCTGTGTTATTAATTTATTACGTTATACCTTTATATAATAGTGTAATGAAAAGCACTTACATGTGTTTCCTGAAAGATTTTAACGAGACCGGCCAAGATTGGCGTTGAAAGAGGTTAACGGCCATAGTTGGGGTTGACATGAGGATTAACAGCAAGAATTAATACAAGGCTGGTCACTTTGACCGTTAATTGAACTAATTGGGACAAACGCTGACAGAAATCAATCGAATAACGCGAACTTCGGCTGTCGCATCGTCGCCAAACTACGTTACATCGGAAGAGCGATAATTTTTACATAATATACTTTTCTTTAACAGAATTTAACAATATCTTCCTGCAGAAAATGCCGAATTGAAACTTACAAATGTCTATTTTTTGAAGTTTGTGACCGGTATGAATTCATGGCCATCAAATTCCAATTACACGCTGCATTGTCATTGGTCGGCTTTCAAAACAACAACAGGACATTCGCAGAGGCCATTCGCTAACTCCCCAAATGTTCGCTCTCTTACCGGAAATGCCCTGTTGTTGTTTTGAAAGCCCACCAATGACAATGCAGCGTGTAATTCGAATTTGAAGGCCATGAATTCATACCGGTCACAAACCTCGGAAGATTAGACATTAGCAAGTTTCAATTCGGCATTTTCTGCAGGAAGATATTGTTAAATTCTGTTAAAGAAAAGTATATTATGTAAAATTTATCGCTCTTCCGATGTAACGTAATTTGGCGACGATGCGACAGCCGAAGTTCGCGTTATTCGATTGATTTCTGTCAGAGTTTGTCCCAATTAGTCCAATTAACGGTCAAAGTGATCAGCCTTGTATTATTTCTTGCTGTTAATCCTCATGTCAACCCCAACTATGCCGTTAACCTCTTTTCAACGCCATTCTTGGCCGGTTCTCGTTAAAATCTTTCAGAAAACACATGTAAGTGCTTTTCATTATACTATTATATAAAAATATAACGTAATAAATTAATAACACAGGATTTTCTAATGATTTTCAATATACTATTTATATAAAGATATAACGTAATAAATTAATAACACAGGGTAAGATTGGGCCGCTGTGTGCAGCATTACCATATATGGTCATGATAATCCGTTGCCTATAATATTTAAAATAACACAACAATCCATGATTTACCGTAATTAAACAAGTTAAAATAAATCACTACCAGTATCTTACAACAATTCAAAACCATGGTAAGGGGCCGATTACATGGAGGTTTTCAGCCCGGGATGAAATTTCAGCCCGGGGCCCTATAAATTCAATATAAAATGAATTTTACGATTACATGAAAAAATTTCAACCCAGGCTGAATTACAGCCCGGGTTAAAATATTTATCCCGCGGGTTTATGTCACCCGGGATGAGATTTTCAGCCCTGTCAACCGGGATGAAATATCCCATGTAATCGCAAATAATTTAATCCCGGGCTAAAAAAAAACCAACAATCGTTTAAATGGCTTTATTTTGTGTTTCGTCTCATCTTTCATACTTTATATGCAACCAGTACTTGAAAAACTAGCTTTCTACGGAGTTTCTCAACTTGAACTTGCATGGTTTCAATCCTACCTCTCAAATCGGCAACAACAGTGTCAAGTAAATGGCAACCTCTCTAATAAAGGTGAAATCATTTGCGGGGTTCCACAAGGTTCCATTCTTGGCCCGTTGTTGTTCCTAATTTATATCAACGATTTACCCAACTGTCTAAAGACAACAAAACCCTGTCTATATGCAGATGATACCTAAATTTTTGTTTCTTCGTGCGACTCTGTTGCGCTGGCTAATGATATTAACTCCGATTTAGAAAATGTCACAGAGTGGTTAAATGTAAATAAACTCCAATCCAATCCTTCTATGGCTAAGCTTATTGTCATAGGATCCAAACAAAGTTTGACCAACAAAGTTGGTGAATTGTACAACAGTATTATCATGAACAATAACGTAATTTCATCTGTTGTCTCGAATAAATGTTTAGGAATTGATCTTGATGACAGGTTGACTGTTGATATCAATAGACCAATTGCGAAACTTAGCGGCCGCGCCTTCATACTGCACGAGAACGAGGCTTATTATGCAAAAACAAAACAATTTCTATATTTTTATATAGCGAAAAGTGAATTTTAGGGTTTTTAAAGTGTTTTTTCTCGAATCTCTTTGATCTTTTCTTAATATTTCGTGCTAGGTTATATAAATATTTGTTAAATTTATCTAAACATCGATTTCCCACTATATTTTTACCGCTTTGGAGAGATATTTCGTTGTTGTTTTAGCATGTGATGGAACAAACATATGGAAAAGATCAATCTAGACTTTAAAATCTGATCAAGATACAAAAAAATAGCCAGTATAACTTAACAAACTAAAATATAACTCTTTCTACCCAGATTTTTTTAGACTTCGTGCGAGAAAAAAAGATTTTGTCAAAGGATAATAACATAAAATTTTTACAAATTTTGCCCAACATTTACTTTCATATTTTTAAAGTTAAAATCGAAAACTTGCTATTATATTACAACTGAAACAAAATTAATCAATGTTACAACTTATTCTTTGAAATGTATTAATAAAACAGGCGGAAAATACCTGATTCTTTCTCTGGTTTAATCTGCTTCTTTTATCGGACGGCGAAAAACAGCAAAACATGGCCTCGCACGCCGCGGAAAACAATGAATTTTGAAGTAAGACTAAATCTATGAACAAGTTTAATAAAGATTTACATAGTCAAAACAACAATATTGAAAAAAAATGAAGAAATTACCATAAAAACGCGTCTCATACACTGAAATTCATTTTTCGCCATATAAAAATATTGCAGAATGATTTGTTTTTGCATAATAAGCCTCGTTTTCGTGCAGTTTAAGGCGCGGTCACTAAGTTTCGCAATTGGTCTATATTGAAGAAATATGCAAGAAGATCATTCTGTTCAGGCATAGGAGCATTGAGGAGAATTAAACCTTTCGTTCCGCAGACCTCTCTTGTTACATTATACAAATCATTAATCCAACCATATTTTGATTATTGCT